TCAATAAATATTATACTTAATAAAAAAAAATTCAATTTATACTAATATTATAGACAGAGTCTGTTTGTTTGAACGCGCTAATCTCAGGAAGTACTAATCTGATTTGAAAAATTATTTTTGCATTAGATAGCTCGTTTATTGAGGAAGGCTATAGGCTATATATTATATTATAATATATAATCTAACGATTCCATACTATCTGTTACAACGTACTTAGGGACGAACCCGAGCAAAGCAAGGGTGAGTCGCTAGTAATCAGGTAAAATTTAGTCATATGATAAACCGATACATAAATTAAAAATAACAGTAGTTTGTATAATACAGCTCCATTGATTCATTCTATATGCATTATGCAGTCATATAATTGTTGCTTTCATCTGATAGTCAAAATATCAGTAATTATTTAAAAGTACACACAAAGACATACATTTTGAGTATTTCAAAGTACATTTACAATACATTGTATTTGTATGTACATTGTACATATGTATAGGAATATAAATATTTAATTTAATTTTAATTTATTGTAATGTCAACATCAACAAGGCAGTGGTAGCCGAGTGGTAACGCGCTCGCTTGGGAAACCGAGTGAAGCGAGTTGAAATCCCGGGTCTCGCACCTCTGATATTTTCATGTGCGAATCATTTCCAACATGATTACCACTTGTCTTAACGGTGAAAGAAAACATCGTGAGGAAACCTGCATGTCTGAGAGAACCTAGTAAGTTTTCAAAAGATATGTGAAATCCGCCAACCCGCACTTGGCCAGCGTGGTGGACTATGGCCTGATCCCCTCGTATGTAAGGGATGCCCGTGCTCAGCAGTGGGACGTTAAAAAGGGCTGAATACATACATACCATGTCAACATTATTATTTTTAGTTATATTTTAGTTATTATTTATTACGTTTGCTAGTTTTACGTTTGCATACAGTTCAATTATCTGATGCCCACCTAATTTCAAGAATAATAGACATATAAATTTGTTAGAAATCAGATTATATATGTACAAATGTTAAAGTATTGAAAACGAGATGAAACATCAAATTGCTTATAGATAGATGGTTTACATTTATAGGTGTATTTTTAATCGAAACTTAAATATTTTTTTGATAAAAAAATGAGATTATTATATCTAAATTAAATGTATATTTTGAAGTAAAACAGGCAACCTGCCAAATTTAATTAGGTTACATAAACGTATTATTATACTTTAGGCACAATTTCAAAGACGCAGCTTTAAATATCCAATGTATTATTCAAGTAATCAAAAATATGTAGAGCATGTTAAAATTATATTTATAAATATTTCACATGTAATTTTAAATTAGTAAATAGAAAATGGAAGATAAAATCAACTTTATCTATTAACTCTTATAAGAGATTCAGAAGTATTACGCTACTATACATATATGCCCACAAACTTATATAGCTTAGTATATTAGTAAAATTTTAAACCTTATAATTCAGTCAGTTCTGAATTCTCATATAGTCTTACCTAAGACGTTCAAAAACTCATAATAAGAAAATAAATCGGTAGCTACCAGGTTTGGTAGTGTACGAAATTTCTTGAGTGCTAAATTTTATGCAAATAAATGGTCACGCATCAACATTTGTACTTTGAACTTTCGATTTATATTTATTCGATAATCATTTATTTTATTCGATATCGACAATTTTGTTATATATTTATTCGATTACATGAAATATAGCGTAAGTTAAAGTAGGAGACGAGCAGGAAGTTACGTACATTCTGTTTTATAAAGCTTTATTTTTATTATAAATGTTTTGAAAATAGAACGACATAAGTTAAATTGTATCTATAAACTGTCAAAGTCAAAGAGTTCGCAAAGTTTATTATATTTCAAAGCCTGTATATATATGCATAAGTGCATGCATGCCTATAACTATAGGCAATGTTCTAAGTAAATAAATTTATACATATATAAGTATAAGTTTATTTAGCACTAAAAAATTATCACAGTTAAATATGATGAAATTTTCGTTCAATAATTATTGATTGATGAAATAAAATAATAAAATACCTGAAAAAGTATTGTTAGGAAAATTCTTGGTCATCAATTTTAATAATTCTACATGTTAAAAAAAAGAAAGATCGTTCAAAAAATTCACTTGAATTCAATTTACCTTAAAGTCATTAAATAACACTAAACCACTTTTTTTTATCTTCAGACTAATTTGCAGAGAGAAGAAAATAGCAAACGAGGTCAATAAAATTTAAATTATATTGCAAAGGTCGTGTGTACTTCTTTACAAAAGTAAACGCCCCTTTCAAACTTTTTAAGCGTGAACGAAACCAACTAAAAAGAGTTTTAATTAAATACAGGTAAAAATATAAGCATTTGCAATTCCACGTAGCCTATTAGTAAATCTAACTAAGAATAATTAAAATTTTGAGTTCGAAAATCTATATATCTATTATCCATACATATAATTAAATTGTAACCAAGCCGAACCTGAACTTTAAATATTTTTAGGAAAATCTTATTGAAATAGTCATTATATACAGAGGCCGAATCTATAGTTTATAGAATTTTTGTCTGTCTGTCTGTCTCTGACCGTGTCACGAGAAAAACACTGGAGAGATTTTGGTGAAATTTGATATGAAGATAGCTGGTTATCCGGATCAACGTGTATCTATCGTCATATCTCGTCGTAAGTAACTACGTAACTAGGGGCGAACCCTAGGAGCGAGTTTGAGTCGCTAGTAAGTAATAAAAGTAAAAAATACATGCAATGCAATGAAGCATTATAAAAATTATAATTGTGCGTTTGCAAAATCTAAAAACGATTTTTTTTTATTTGTAATAAAAATGTATATGTAAGTCATATCTGTTACTTTACAGATTTAAATTTTTGATATATCAAAGAGTATTTCAGCCTATACCTCATTAAGGGTTGTATTTCCAAAAACACCGCCCAAGTGTTTACTTGGGAAGTTTCCTTTACAATAGGAAGTTGTTGTGGAAACATTATCATCAATTCCCGCATTACTTATATTTAAATTCAATATGTAATGATGACTGCAAAAAGGTACGAGTATTTTATTGATATTGAATGAAAGTTTTAACCGGTTTACATATATATTAATAATTATTTATCGTTTTTATATATTATATTAATTAGTTAATGGAAAAGATCTCACGATTAACTATTACTTTTTTTATGAATTAATTAACATAGTATATGAAGGTGATCGGACGATAAAAATGGAGTCCATTTAATTAACCAATATTAACCACATGGGATGGGGCAAATTATATACAATATACGATATAATACGTTAATTAACTAATTTAGAGTGTATCGGCTTACACTTAGTGGTGATTACTCTAGCAAGCAAGATTAAGTTAAAAATTAAAAAAGACCCCGACCATCTTGGACCGATTTTCATCAAACATAGCTAAGATCATTCCTGACTAATTCACCTTTCAAACAAAAAAAAGCAAAATCAAAATCGGCTCATCCGTTCGGGAGCTACGATGCCACGGACAGATACACACATAGACATATCAAACTTATAACACCCCGACTAATATATAATATTATATAACTAGCGATCAACCTTGGATTTTCATGAGAGCATTTTTATTTTTTTTTATTTTAAATGCCCGACTTTGTAGAATCAAATAAACGTTAAGCCAATTTATGCCTGTGACAGTTAGTTACCAGTTAACTAAAACTACATAATTTACCGTTCGACAGCATTTAAAAATACGATTTTATAATATTACTACATTTTATGTCCATAGAGTGTCCAAAATACATATATTGCTTAACCCAAGTTTTCATGTTTTGCGTTGTATAAGTATGTAGGCACTAAATCTTATTATAACCTATACACATAATAAAATTCTAACTAGGCCGAATCTCTATATTAAATATTTTTTGGAAAATTTTATTGAAATAGACATTATTATCGATATAGAGGCCGAATCTATAGTTTTTAGAATTTTTGTCTATCTGTTTGTTACCGCATCGCGGAAAAACCACTGGAGAAATTTTGATGAAATTAGGTATAATGATAGCTGGTTATCCGAGTCAACATATAGGATACTTTTTACAGCGGAAAAACATCTCATCTCTGAGAAATCGATACTAAGCGTTAAAACGTAAGTAGGGACGAACACAAGCGAAGCGAGGGTGAGTCGCTAGTGTGTAATATTTTTTATAAGTACCTATATAAATAAATTACTTCTACTAAACTAGATGATTCGAATAAAGCTTCCGTTAAAATTGAACGAGTAATTCATATCTTATACATTCATTCTAAATAATCAAAATTACGGTGCTATTATTATAATTAGATACTACCATCCAAGTTCTATTACCGACATAATAACGAAAATTGATCTTGCTTCTAAAATATCAAATAATTATAGACACACTGTTCTGAGACGTTAAATAATAACAAATATTGTTAAATACAATATAATACAAATATTATGTAGACTGTAGATCAAACTTTAGGTAAAAAAAAATGTAGAGATGTCTAATTTATCATATTGCCTTCAAATGTTTATTGCAAGCTTAGAGAAAAAAAATATAAATATTATGAAGAAGGACTCTACAATAAAGTTTTATTTCTACAAAAATAATAACAATTACAATACACAACATACATTATACAATACTCTTATCTATCTTATAAAGCTACAAACCACATTAAATCAGAAGTACCTACTTCTAAAAATGTAAAACTAATAAAAAATTTCATACTTTAGCTATTTTCTGCTATTTCAAAAATTATACCGGGAAGCGTTTCTCGTTTCGTTTATTTATATCATTTATACGTCTGTAAGAAACCGAAAGCGACTCTAGAAATATAGAGTTTTAAATACAATCTTTAAAAGTTATTTATTAAAACAAAACATATTTAAAATACTGTAAAAGAAAGAATTTCTAAGAAATGTTTATCAAAGAAAGTAGATACTATGTTTTGTTAATCGGGAACAAGAGTTAAAGCTTTCTAATGCGCTTACCAGACCGGTTGACCCTTCATCGCGGAATCCAGACACCAGTGCATCACCTTACACACTTAAATATTCACCGACACCGGTCATCTTTATCACTACATGAATCGAGAAAACACCAACACGACTCTACCACGCTACAGTCAACGTACGACTGACGGTGACGAGCCAAAGCAGCGCTGTAGTACGCTCTAAGAGTGTTCTATATAATTTTCTGCATTGTAAATTCAACCTTATATATACTGTAAACAGGGTTATTTTTTGGTTATAGATACTTGGTGTTTACATTTAGAATCGATATGTAGAGCTAGATGCGGAGGAAAGTAAGTAGGCGCATTTCCTCGGATGCTGCGGGTACCACGTTGCGGTCAGTGTTGCATCTGGTGGCTTGGTTTCGTATTATGTATCACAGGAACATAATTGGACCCAGTTATGCAAAAAACAGCCATTTGCGTAAAAGTACCAACAGAAATATAAGAATTTTTCTGTCGCTAGTTGCACTTGGGTTTATGTTTAGTTTTTCTGGTTATTTTAAAATTGAACAATATTTATATAAGTATTGTTTTATTTATATAATTATTTTATTTTTTATAATAAAATGCTTATAACTCTGTCGGTATTTTTACGCACATGGCTGTTTTTTGCATAACTGGGTCTAATTGTATCCTTCGTTTTGTACACTGTTTTGTTTGTAAATAGCTTCCTGGTCTGATAGTGCCTTTTTTACAATGTTAATGTTGGATGGATATACTTCATTTGGTTTAACTTAGTTAACAAGGTTGTATTTAAAGTTTCAATATATTTTATCACCATAGATCTTCCTCACAGACTTACAATACTGATATTTAATAAATGTAAAAATTGACAATTCGCAATTTCAAGAACGATAGAAATCTATTTGAATAAAGTATACTTTGATTTCGATTTCATTGAAGTTCAAAATTGCTAGGCTGTTTGTGCTATAATTTGTGAAAATGTAGATTACAAAACAAATATTCCATATAAGTAGTTCAAGCAAATAAATTACTATCGTCAAAAAAAAGTTGTATTATTTTAAAAGCTCTTTGCTGAAAAAAATTAAGTTTATCCCCAAAAGTGATTTCGGATACGTATGTAGATTTTATTTCGGCGAAACATATTTATGCGTAGCGGCGCAAAATGGTTTATAAATTTCACGTTTTCCTCAAAGTATATATTTTCCTTCTAGAAAAATCAAATATTGAAATCTCTGACAAATTCATTTATTTATATTTGGTTCATACATGAACATATTTATTACGTTAGGGAAAAGGTATAATATTGTGTTCCTTTTCTTCTTCATATGGAATATCACCTTGAATGTTTGTCACCACGCTTTAGTATTTATCATCTAAAGGAATGCTTACTAAAGTTAGAAATAAAAACTTACTATTAAATACTTTCTTAGATTAACTTAATTTAAGGGTAGGGATTAATTTAAGGGTAGTTGTAGAACTCTTCTTTTTGCTTTAAGATTCTTTAGGGGCTGGCGATTGTCTTAGGCTATTTTAGTACCTGTATACATATATGTCGTCCCACCGGAGTATGAGAGTGACAGGAATAGAGAGTGCACGTTGTGTCTGCGCGTACATTTGTGCACAATAATATCTCCTGGTCAGTTGGCTAGTCTCAATGAGATTGGCCGCCGTAGCCGGAATCGGCTAGGAGAACATCATCATCATATGTATACATACGAGTACATACGAGTGTTTATGTAGTATATAAGTCTACAGCAAAAAGATATCCCGGAAGTATTCCGGGATTATCTCTATTATCTACATTCATATACGACCAACAGTATATTAATTTAACCCGCCACTTGCCATTACTATTGGTAACAATGAACACTATATTACTTTAATATTAAGGAAAATCTTTAAGAAGTGTGTACTATATAAACTATTTTTTATAGAACTTCATGCGTAATCCCTAGATCCACTATTTGTGCAAGCAAACGGTTCTCCGGAACATCGATGCAAGTATTCCTGATGAAGTTTAAGTTTATTCGATTAATATCATCAAAATAATTTATAATATTTTATTCTTTATATTTGCTTTATTTATTTGCCTTACTATTATTTATTTTAACAAAAACTAGTAGAAGCCTGAAAATATTATTTTTTCTCAATAGCTCTAAAATAATAATGATCTAACTTCTGTTATATCAAAAATATTCTCCAATAAATTATATGTTTATTTTCAATGCAATGCTACGAGTAATAAGTATATATACATATACACACGCACATGCATGCATGTAAAGCTAGCAACAAAGAATACTGTAATAGAGAATTATAAAAAGTAGAATGCTAACTGTATAATGCTGGCGTCTCTTAGAGAAAGTATAAAATCTCAATTGAATATGTCTATTTAATGATTTTGATGACCAACCGACAGAGAAATATGAAAAGTTAGGCTTGCAACAACCTTATTTTTTCCTTATAATTCTATGTGTTGATAAAAATTTAATATTTTCTTAGATTTACGCGAATATTTATTATCTTTAAATAAAACGAAACCTTTTCGGATATATTTGGAACTAGCAGAACCCGTGGATTAGGTCGTGCTAAAACTACAAAAAAATCTCTAAAAAAGATAGGTTTCATACAAACTTTCATCCCGTATTTTACCCTTTTATAGAATGAATTTCGAAAAATGCTAAAACACGTGTTTAATTAATTTTATCGAAGAGCATTAATATCAAATTTCAAGTAATTCTGATCATAAATATTTTTTGAATTGTATTATAACGTGTTTTCCCGTGGAAATTAAATAATCTCCGGCGGTAAAGTGGTAAGTAGCATATGTCACTCTTCAGCCCTCCAACTATCCCCACACAAAAATTCACGCTAATCCGTCACTCCATTTCGACGTGAAAGAAGGACAAACAAACAAACACACTTTCACATTTATAATATTAGTATGGATGAAAAAGTATATATATATATATATATACTATGTATATATATATATATATATATATTTATATGTATACATAGTTTAAGTTATTTAATATAATTAACAATGATTATTTTTACACTGTCATTAACTTTTTACCTTGAAGAACACCTTATAAATGTCGACCCTACACCTGATCCCCTGTCACATCTGACTTTGAGAATTATACAATATGAGTGCACCTGCGAGCCCATATACTAGTATTAATTATAATATCTCCTGCGTAGATGTTTAGCTAATACGATTCGCCGCGATGATCGAAAATAGGTTGGAACAATATAAACTAATATTACTTTAGAACTTCGATTTAATAAGTATAACAGTAAATAGCCATCATAAGATACATCTGTACATATTTTAATATATTCTTTATTATTTTTTGATTTATCACAAATTAAGGACACTTAAAATCGGTAACTTAATAAAAATTGTTTAATGTAACTATATAAAAAATGCGAAAACTTTCTATGCAATAAAATAAATCTATACTAATGCAAATCATATTACAATTTATCACCTAATCACATGATAAAAATATATGTCAGACATACATTTGAAAAATATATGTTGGTGGGTACAAGCTTGTCCAACTTTCTCTCAATATTGCTCTAGAAATCAAAAGTAAAGAAACTTGTATGTATATATTCAGCACCTTTTTAACGACCCACTGCTGGGCACGGGCCTCCCTTTAATACGAGGGGGATCAGGCCATAGTCCACCACGCTGGCCAAGTGCGGTTGAACTTCACATGTCTTTTGAAAACTGGCTAAGTTCTCTCAGACATGCAGGTTCCGTCACGATGATTTCCTTCACCGTAAGACAATTGGTTATCATGTTAGAAATGATTCGCACGTGAAAATATCAGAGGTGTGAGACCCGGGATTTGAACTCGCTTCACTCGGTTTCCCAAGCGAGCACGTTACGACTGGGCTACTACTGCCTTGAAGAAGAAACTTGTACTTTACGTAACGTAAGTTGAAATATATTTTTTAAAAGTAGAGTTGTTTGGCTTAGTATTTAAATTGTATGGATTCTTCGTAGTTCGTAGTCTTTTGATAATTTGTACCAATTACGAGGTCGAAGTTAATTAGTGAATAGGGCTTCCTTTCTAATTAATATTAATTACGTAAATGATTAAAAAATTGTGGCTTTTTTTGTGGTACAAACGGAAATCCTTATAAAATTTTCTACACCAGGTCACTTTTAAAACTTTTAGTAAAAGCTTTTCCTTAAATAATATATTTAGTCGATCATAAATTTTTTCAACTATTAGTTTTTATTTTACGGAGTGTCTATTTGTCCTTTAATAGGACGAATACAAAAAAAAATTTCATCCTTTATAATATATATATATATATATATATATATATATATATATATATATATATATATATATATATATATAAATTATAAGGAAGGAGGAATACAAATAGACTAATAAATAAGTAAGTAGAATAAGTAGCTCGGCTCAGCTCGGTAGGTTATTTTTTTTTTGCATACAGAAACTCCCGCACCTAAAAATCACTTTTAACACATAAAAAAATTTGAACTTTTATGTTAAAAGTGTTGGGATTTAAAATAATAAGTTTCCAGATCGGTAATTTAAGGTGTTATTCTTGTGCATCTAAAATTTTTATATTAGAAAACAAAAAACAAACCGGAAATAGTCAGACGAATAACATATTTTTTATTCGTCCGATTAAAGTAAAAATAATATTTTTTTATTCATCCTTATTTTAAGTGCGAATAGCAACAGCCTTTATTTTATCAGAACGTAAAGAGCGATAACATTACAGACAAGTATCATATTAAAAGTGAGAACAGACTTTGACAAGTGAGAAGTTTTAACAAGCGATAGCTTCAAAGGAGAATTGTCGAGCCACGCCAAAACATTGTTATAATAATTGTTGTATATTATTATAATAGTTTTCTTTTTAAATAAAATATCTCTATCTGTACACCATTATTCTGTGATACGTAATATAATACAAAAGCCAAATTAAATCTGTTTATATTGAGTACTAGTTTCTGTATACAACTGCAAGTGCCCTTACTTTGAATGAAATTTCATGGTTTA